TCCGTAAACTTAAGGTAAGGTTAGACAAACCTTATTAATTTTAATTCAGTAAATAAAATGGAGAATGTAGAATTTAAGGTTGATAAGGAGAAGAAAGAGTAAGAATGTTTGTAGGAAAACTAAAACACCATTAATGAATTAATATGTATAATTAATTTATTAACTCTCTAATTGGGAAGGTAAGTATGAATGTATTTGAAATTGATATTTAAATTCAAATATATTATTTTTTATGAGATAGACTAATTGACTAAAAATTCTCGTAGGAGAGAGAACACAGAAAGGGGGAAGAAGAGTTCAAAACCTTATTATAGGGGTGGAGAAGTGCTCCTTTTTTCTTTTTTTCTTTTTAATCAATAGTTTAGCTTGGAAGCCTTACTCAATTTTTTTTTCTTGACAAAAAGCTTTCCAGAATTTAAGTATATTGTTCGTTTATATTTTTATAAGTAAATAAAGGGATTGATGTTTAATAACTTAGATTGTATATTAAAAATACAATTTAATTATTTTATAAACTTATTAAAATATTTTAAATAAAAAAACATAAAAAATAAATTTATTAAAATTATTTTAATAAATTAATAAAACATAATACATTTTTAATATATACTCCACCTTCTAAAACACTTCTACATAACTAAAAGTGTATTTAAATTTGAAGTTTTCAATTACATGTATTAAAAACTTTGTATTTTAAACTTAAAATTACAACTACAAACATCTCAAATACCTCTTGTATCTCATGAATTTCAATTCTCAACCCTAGTATTTTATCAAGTTAAGAGTAAGATGTATATATCATGATGAAATCTCGGATTAACTCCGTCGTTAGGCATTGGTAATCTCCGATTTAAGGCCCTTTTCTCCTTCTGACTCAGATCTTCTCTATTATTGTTGTTGTCGGCGTTGATTACCGGCTCTTGGCCTCCACCATCACCGCTGGTCATCTTGTCCTTTCCTTCGTCACCAATTACTTTGATTTCGTCCTTGTCCCCTTCCTTCTTTGCCACATCGCTATCGATTTAAGGGATGGATTCACTCTAATTTCATATATTTAATTATTTGGGCTCAATTTTTTGTGTAGAATAGAGGGACAACCAAACTTGTTTTCAAATAATTAAGGTGCACTACTCTATTGCTTTCTGTTTGCGAGTGACTATTAACTGAATTTCAAGCTAAATTTACTCAAATTAAACTGGTGATTGATATTTGAAAATTTTGGGTCTTAACTCTTAAGGTGATGAGCGCCGCAGGAGTAGAGTCTTCTTTTGCTTTGCCCACCACCTCTTCGATAGTTTGCCTACATGGGATGATGCTGTCTTGTTATTGACTCATAAAGTCATAATGGGATAATGTTGAAGTTTTACTCCTGGTTTTTCTACAGTTGATTTATTCTAACTAGGATGCAATGGATAGAGAGTTTAGTTGAAATTGAACACCATAATTGATTGATTCAAATAGTGTGTTTAAAATTTATATATTTCAAATTCATAGTAATTATTATATCTAATCCCAACAATGAATTTTAAACTATACGTAATTAAATTCAATATATTTAAAATATAGCTTTTAAATTCAAATACACACTACAAAAGGTAATTTAAAAGTATTTAAATAATTTTACGTATAGTTTTACACTCTTTTCTTGTAAGTCAACTTCAAAAACCTTTTTTTTTTTTAAGAAAAAGAAGAAAATTCCATCTAGAATACTTTTATATTTTAGTAAACCTAATTTTTAATTTGGAAAGTTTAAATTTAGTAGTTCACTTTTTTTTAAAATATCATTTAATGCATTTATTTTAATTTTACTAGTACAATATTATTTTTAAAAAATAATTACAATATATACTCTCTTTATTTAATTTCAGTAGATCTAATTTTTAATTTAAAGAGTTTAAATTTAATTGTTAACTTTTACTTTTTATGATGTCATTTAGTGTGTTTATTCATATTTTACTTCTATTTTAAAATGATAATAGTACAAAATATATTAGATAAAAAATTTACTTAAATGGTGGAGATAAATATAAAATTTTATTAATAAGTTATTACTACATCATTATTTTTTTAGATTAAAAAAACTAACCATGCTAAAGTTTAACGAATGAGTTTGGTCCTTCAATTTGAGTGTTTTGCACCAATTTTGTTCTTCAACTCCATTCTGTACTTTTTTTTTGGTCCCCTTACTCCAAATTTTTGCACCAAAGATGTCCCTCCATCTACTTCAATCCAATTCCGCGTGTTAAACTAATGGGATTTTAATGACAAAATTGCTTAGTCAGACAAATTTTATCCCACCTAACTGTCTGCCCACTCACTACTTGCCCATGTAAAGGATTGATTTTAGGGATATCCTTAAACTCTTTTTTTGGTGGACCTTAAATTTTGAAAAAAATTGTCTAAAATTTAAAATTTTTTATTTGTGTATTAAATGTCTTATGGACTCCATTTGCAAGACGGTCATTGATTTTGGACAAAAGTGGAGCATTAATATTACTAAATATGAGATATATATTTTAGATTTTGTTTAAAATTTTGATTTTTGTGAATGTGGAAGAGTAAAATTTTTTTTGGGTGAAATTTCTAATTAGATTTTTTGACAAGTATAGTGCAAAAAAATGAGTAGTTTGGTCTTAAAATGCATAATAGTAGAGGAAAAAATAACATAAGTCTCCACATATGATAAGTGTTTGCATTTGTCTCATTACCTTAATAAATAATAATTTTTTTATTAAATATTTAAAATTTGAATAGTAATGGTTGAATTCCTATTTACTTTTATTATGGTGTAAATTGAGATATGTTTTATATTATTGTTGTATTATATAAGACCACAATATGTAAAGTACATAGACTTTCTATTGTAC